GGGGTGCTGAACGCGCCGAGGTCAGACCCAGGAGGCGCTGAAGCCAAGGAGGCTTGCCCTAGTGAGTGTGTCCTGAGGGGTTGTCACACTACAAGAGGGTCCTGTCTGAACTTCATTCAGAGCGGTACCAGAGCACTGAGCCTGTGCACCCCGTGACACCCTCTGACACTCATGAAGGTGCTATGTGCAAGAAAGCCCAGCCCGTCAGTGTGAATGCTGGAAGAAGGGGATAAAACAGGCACAGAAGAAAATTTTATATCTCTCTTTGCTGTTTATATTCTCACAGGGTTGGAGCTAGGAAACAGAAGCAGAGATCCCCAGGTTCAATCTGGATTAGCCCTAAAAGACATTCAGTGCTGACAGATTACTACAACCGTGTCACCTTTTGGAACCTGTGATGAGGCGGAGTGGCCTCCCACTGAGACAGAGTGGGAGGGGTCTCACACTGGGCCAGGGTGGGGGGAGCCAAAGCCAGCTCGTCCCGCCCACCAGAAGTCAAGGGGTGGGACAGGAAGTATAAAGGGAGCACTCTGTAGCTGGAGGAGACAGATGCCTCCCGCCTGCTCCCAGAGCTGAAGCCCAAGGGGGACCCTTGCCGTGCTGAGGACTGGCCCGAATAGCGGACGCTGCCAACAGACGAAAATCCCAGAGAGTGGCTGGGGCTGCCGCTGGCTATCTACGCCAGGCTGATGGAGGACCCCCACGGAGGCAGGTACACCCCGAGGGAAGGATTGGAAGTGGCCCTGGGACAGCCGACTCCAGTCCGGCTGCGTTTGCTGCCTGAACCCCAGTCAGCGTGTTGGGGCTGGATCCCTGCTGACCCAGTGGCGGAACCCTCCACCACTGCTAGGGCCTTGGGCTGGAACCTAGTGGAGTAGGGTGGGCCTGGGTCCCCCTACCCCTTCACCCCGGGGTAGCAGTTTCCCTACCATAGGCCAGGAGGCCTGTGTTTACCAGTCCCGCCCAAGGGCCAGAGCCTCCCGGGACTGCTGATTGCTCAGTCCCACCCGAGACATAGACAGTTGACTGGCTAATTCCCTTGCCACTTAATTTCAAATACAGAGATGTAGTGAGGCAGAGTGGCCTCCCACTGAACTAGAGTGAGAGGGGCCTCCACTAACCCACTATAGAACCATAGACTGTAACTCATTTGTGTATATATGTTGCCTGCTTTAATCTATAAATAACTCTGGTATTTCCGAGTTAATAAATCCTTAGTTGGTTTACTATAAGATTGGCTACAAAGATTATTTTTGGTGTGAGATCTGAGGTACAAATTGACCTGGGGTAAGTGACTGGTCTTTTGTGACTGAAAGCAACTTGAATCTTTTGTGATCTTTGGTGTATGGCAACCAACTATCACTAAATCCAGCTTGCCTGGATGATAAGATAGATTGGAGTCCAGGACCTCCACAGTAGCATTCTCTGGGATGCTTCCGGTTCCACGCACAGGGCCAGTTGGACGGGTGGAGCTGTGGGGTTTCAATGTGTGGATGAGATGATGGTATAGGAAAGAAGGGTTTGGGTTTGTTAAGAACTGGGGAACCTTTTGGGAAAGGAGGAGTTATGTGGGAGGGATGGGCTCCACCTGGACCAACGCAAAACTAGATTGCTGGCATGTAAGGTTGAAAAGGTTGTAGAGATTTCAGGCTAAGGGCTGGGAGAAAGCCGATGGGTACGGAGGAGCACACAGTTTGGACAGAGGCATCCTTTACGGGAGACTCTATTAACGGGGATTCTCTATATCCTAGTAAGGAGGTGAGGATGGAAGTTGATAAAGTACAGGTAGGAACTGAAGAGAAACAGTCAAATGAAAGACTCCCATTCAATTACATCACATAATGGCAGACAGCTAAAAAGTGACAAATTTTTATAAGTGCTTGTATACAAATGCTAGAAGTCTAAATACTAAGATGGGTGAACTTGAGTGCCTGGTATTAAATGAGGTTATTGATATAATAGGCATCACAGAAACTTGGTGAAATGATAATAAATGGAACACGGTAATACCAGGATACAAAATATGTTGGAATGACAGAGTAGGTCATGCTAGTGGGGGAGTGGCACTATATGTGAAAGAAAGCAGAGTCAAATATAGTAAAAATCTTAAATGAATCAAACTGTACCATAGAATATCTATAGATAGAAATTCCATGCTTGAATAATAAAAATATAGCAGTAGGAATATACTACCAATCACCTGACCGTGATGGTGATTGTGAAATGCTCAGAGAGATTAGAGAGGCTATAGAAATATAAAATTCAATAGTAATGGGGGATTTCAACTATCCCCATATTGACTGGGTACATGTCACCTCAGGACAGGATACTGAGATTAAGTTTCTAGACACCATGAATAACTGCTTCTTGGAGCAACTAGTCCTGGAACCCACAAGAGGAGAAGCAATTCTTGATTTAGTCCAAAGTGAAGCACAAGATCTGGTCCAGGAGGTGAATATAGCTGAACCACTCGGTAATAGTGACCATAATATAATTAAATGTAACATCCTGGGGGGCGGGAACAACACCAAAGAAACCCACCACAGTAGCATTTAACTTCAGAAAGGGAAACTACACAAAAATGAGGAAGCTAGTTAAATGGAAATTAAAAGGTACAGTCACAAAAATGAAATGTCTGCAAGCTGCATGGGAACTTTTTAAAAACCTCATGATAGATGCTCAAATTAAATGTATATCCCAAATTAAAAAAACACAGTAAGGGGACCAACAAAGTGCCACCATGGCTAAACAATAAAATAAAAGAAGCAGTTAGAGTCATAAAGACATCTTTTAAAAATTGGAAGTTAAATTCTACTGAGGAAAATAGAAAGGAGCATAAACTCTGGCAGGTCAACTGTAAAAGTTTAATTAGGCAGTCCAAAAAAGAAATGGAAGAGAAACTAGCCAAAGACTCAAAAACTAACAAATTTTTGAGTACATGCAAAGCAGGAAGCCTGCCAAACAATCAGTGGGGCCACTGGACGATTGAGGTATTAAAGGAGCACTCAAGGAAGATAAGGCCATTGCAGAGAAGCTAAATCAATTCTTTGCCTCTGGCTTCACTGCAAAGTATGTGAGGGAAGTTGAAAGTCCAGACTCCAAGGTTTTATTCCCAGTTTTGGGAGGAAAAGCTAATTTAGTGGTCAGAAAAGGAGAACAGGGAAGTCAGGACCTCTGGGTTATATACTGGGCTCTAGGAGGTGAGTGAGTGGGTGGTTACAATGGGAACAGGAATCACGACACCTGGGTTCTATTCTCATCTTGGCCAGTGACTCAGACAAGTCACTTGGGCCCAGATCTCACGGATATTTAGGTGCTTAATTCCTGGTGGGAGTTATATGCCTCGATACCTTTGAGGATCTGGGCCTTCATCTCTTTCTGTGCCTGTTTCTCCACCCATAAAATGGCAACAATGATACTTACCTTTGTACTACAGACAGAAAGGAAAATTCTATTGTGAAATACACCAGTTTAAACCTGGAGCAACTCCACTGAAGATAATGGGGTTACGTCAGTGTAATTGAGAGAGCAGTCTGGTAGGAAACATTGTACACAAGGGATTTTATTATTTTCCTTTGCAGATTTTGCCAAGATTTCCCACATTTATATTACCCACGTTATCGACGTCCTGCATTGCAGATCCCTCCCACAGCTTTTGTTGACTCTGAATCTGGATATATATTAGGATTGTCAAAGGCATTTAAGCAAATTAGGTGCCTAACCCTATGGGAGTTAGGTGCCTAGCTACTTTTGAAATTTGGCTCTCTATTGCCAGTATCCTTCGGTATTTTCCAGTCCTGGGACTTCAGAATGAGGAAAATCCCAAATGCTATGTAAATGTGAACTATTTTTTATTGATATTACACTATTTGTAAAGGGTTTGGGGATCAAAATGACCCCAAAATTCCAGGGCTAAATTTTTCAAAACCAGAAGCCTAAATTTTGATTCCTACACCCTGATTTAGCCTCCTAAATAAACTTTCAGAAATGTTGAGTAGGTTTATTCAGCACTTTTGAATATCAGCTCCATTTAGACCCTACCCTACATCAGGATTTCTGGACAGTTCCTCTAAAAACTCCAGCCTAGCTTTTAAAATTTTGACCCAAGATTGCATTCTCTAATACAGACTGAAAAATCTTTTTGAGAGATTTCACAGAAAACCACAGCTTTCCGTCACACCATTTTTCCTAAACCCAGCTCTGTAAAGGTCTGTAGCCACATGGTTTGAAGCCTCAACAGATTAATGTTTCAGCATCTCGCCTTTTTGATTCAAGGAAATGAGACTGACAGGTTTATGCTCTCAGCCAATTGCAAAGCTGCTCTCTTCTCTGTCCCACCTACCACTTCCTCTCATCTTTCTCTCTTTCATTATCACCATGCTTCCTGTACGTATCCTGTTCCTGTACTCCCAGACCAGCGTGCTTGGTAAGTGGCAAGATCTCTAGCTCGGTTTGAATCCTTTGCCATTCTGAGTTTAATTTTTGCCATCCACCCATGTGTTAGGATTAGAATAAATGTAGTTAAACTGTATGTGGTGGAGAAAGGTTTTCCCGTGGATTGAGTTTGGCTTTAGGGTTGAATTCAGAATCCATAGGCCACCCCTTTACGTAGGGCCAAAGGCAGGGGATTAGTGGGAAAGTGGTCTGTTAAAACTGTGCGATCTTCAGCGACACCCCTGAAATCCCCATTGACTTTGCAGTCCCTGGGTGAAACAGACGGCATGATTTGTCCCTATGTTTTAATAAATTACTATGTGTCTGCAGTGTTCCTCTTCAGGTCTGCATGAAGTCACACATGCTGTAAAATGAGTTCGTTATCTCTCTCCTACTCCTCTCTTCTCCCCGCCCCTGTATGATTTGGTGACTTGTTTCAGGGCACACGGAGTGTGCTGCAGAGCTCGGAAGCTAACGCAGGAGTTCTGACGCTTAATTCTGCCCTTTAATCCAAATAAATTCTACTCCCAGCTCTGGAAGGGAGAGCAAAGCTCAGAGATCCACTCCTCCTGTCGTAGGCAAACCATCATAAACAGCAGTAGGTGTTTTATGTACAGATCTGTTTTTAAGAGGAAAAACCACGTGGTGGGTGAGCTGGTGAAAGTTGAACAAAGAATGTCCCTGCTGCGGAGGGAGGTTGGGTTAGCACGGTGCCTTCTGCTGTGTGTTCTAGCAGTCTCTTCAGGGGTGTGGAGTGAGCTGGCAGTGGGTTTGACTTAGTGTTCAAAAATGCTGCTGCTGGTAATGGTGAAATTGCCCACGCTGTGTGTGGCCCACGTGTTGAGGGAAAGCGTGGGAGTTGAAGGTGACTCCAGGCCTCAGTTTTGGTTTGGCTATTCTCCCCACTTTATAATTTGCAGATGAAACTGCATGCTGCACCACTGAAGTAAATAAATGGAAGCTTAATTACAAGAGAAGAAAGTTGAGCGAGCTCTGCTGGCTTTGAAACACAGGGTGGAATTCAGAGGCTGTCCTGAGCCCAGTGTGACTCCAGTGGTAAAACTTCCATCTGCTTGTCTAGTGCCTTTGCCGAACCCCACGTGCCATCCAGACCCCCTTTAAAAAATGCAGTTTCATGATAGGGGTGGGTGGGCTGGGAGTCAAGACTCCTGGGTTCTACCTCAGCCCTGGGAGGGTAGTGGGGTCTAATGGTGGGTGGGCTGGGAGTCAGGACTCCTGACTATTGGCTCTGACGCTGTCCCAGGGGTGACCTTGAGCAAGCCACTTTGCCCTTGCCCCTCTGTACCTCAGTTTCCTCACCTGTACAATGTGAATAATACTTCATAGGAAGCATGTGAGGCTTGATTCATTCATGATTATAAAACACTCAAAAATCTTTGGATGGGAGTTCCTAGAAAAAGAGCACATTATCAAATATTGTTGTTTTTGATCCCTTATTAGTTTATTAGCTACTAATGGTTGGGTACTTCATAACCTGTGAGTGATCCCAGACTGCAACTTTTACCTGATCTGTAGCACCTACTCCTTGCACCTACCACAATAAAGAGAGCTAACAACTTTTATGCAGGTCAGAAAGATACCCAAGAGCCCAGTATCTATGAAGCCTCAAAGGATTTCAGATACAGAATGCAAATGCCATAGGCTGCAAGCAGCCGGGCTTTAACAGAAAGGTTCTCTGCCCTGCTCTGGGAGTTGGATCTGCAAATGAAGCAGTGGGATAAAGTCTGGAGGCTGATTCAGGGCAGTAATGGGTTCAATTAAGGATTATTCTAACACAGAAGGTTAGAGCTACATAGAATGTGTGGCCTAACAGGCCTGTCTTCTTGGGGTTAGTGCAGGATTGTTCCCTACAGTCTGCTTTCTATCACTTTGTTCAGTCTAGTTTTAAAAGTCCCAAAGTAAATCGGGAAGAGCTGAGATTAGAAGTGTAAAGCCTTTTGGCTGAGAGGAAGAATGAACCAGCAATTAGGGTGCTAGCCTGGGAATTGAGAGACATGGGCTTAATTTCCTGCTCTACCACAAACTTATTGTGTGACCTTGTGCAAGTTTTAGTCTCTCTGGGCCAGATTTGTATAGGTACTTGGGCATCTAAAGATACAGATAGATGCACAGTGAGATGTTCAGAAGTGCCTAGGTGCCTAACCCCTACTGATTTCAATCTGCCTCTTTAGGTGCCCACAGACATTTAAAAAACTGGCCCTCTGCCTCAATTCCATATCTGTAAAATGTGGATAATAGCAATGCCCTACATCACCAGGAAGAAATTGTGAGGTGCTCAGATAGTTGATAATGGGAGCTCTGTTTCTGGTGCTGGGAGGAGGTGGAGTTTACTGATTAGAGAAGAGTGAATTGAGATTGACCTTCATTTGGTTCTATTCATGGCTCTGTCTCTCGCTGTGTGACCTTGGGCAAGCGATTTGCCACTCTGTGCCTCAGTTTCCTCAGTTATACAGTGGAGATGATATTGACTTCACAGGGTGGATGAGGCTTAATATTTGTAAAGCACTTGGGCTGGGATTGTTAGAGGAGCCTAAGGGGATAAGTAAGGTGCCTAATTCCCTTAGACTTCTCTGAAAGCCTCTGGAGATTTTTGGAAGAAAGGAGCTAGAGAAAGACAAACCCTTATAACTGTATTAATTTTAGTGGGTGTAGCTTCTGCATTATTGGTGACCCCTAAAGGTGGGAACATCCTGCTGTGGAGGCTTTTACAATCCTGTCTCTAGTGTAACCTTTAAACACCAATTTTCTGACATAGCTATGGCAGGGTTGGATGTGGTCTGGTTGCCAGGTTTTGGTCTGTGTATCCTAAACCAATGTTTGTATCTCTTCATTTTAGACTGAAAATGGAATTGATGAGCTGGGAGGAAACAGTTGCTTTGGAGAAATGCCACGTTCCAGATATGGGGCTCAGTGAGCTGGTATGAGATTGGCTTCTTACAGAGGAACAGAGAATCCCTGCCCAGGGGGTTAAACATTACATAACAGCAAAACTGTCAAAATCTAGGGGCAACTATAATGGGTTAGAACAGGGGGGCTAGGAGTTAAGACTCCTAGGTTCTATTCCCAACTCTGGGGGAGTGTGGACTAGTGGTTAGAGCAAGGGGAATCAAGTCTAGTTGTAGAGAAGGAGGACTGGGAGTCAGGACTCCTGGGTTCTATTTGGCTACCTCTCTTTAAGTGCTTTAGCAAGACCTAAAATTTCCAACCTGGAGAGAGGACTCCAGAGTATTCCTGTTAGGTGGTATGGCAGGCCTAATCCTGCCCTGATCTATCTCCCTTCCCCCAAATAGTGCAGGCTGGGGCATGTCAAACCTTCAGCTTTGGCCTTTGTAATGTAGCAGATGTTTTTCAACTCTGACTTGATTGAAGTATCTGTTACCAGCTGTGTTGACCAATCCAACTTTCAGCTGTGACAATGGAGTGTAGTAGGAGTGACTTGTGGCTTCACATGTCTTGAGGCCTTCAGATTTTAAGTCCTCATTGTCCAGGACTGGTTCGTCTCTTCCTCCTGCCACTGCAGATAAATTAATGCTTTTTGTCTGAAGCTGTTCGGTCTTTTGCTTGAGGCCTTAATAAAATTTGAGATCCTGTCTGCTCACTGTGGATGTTAAAAGGGCCATGTGATCTTTTGTAAGCATCAGGAGGGAGTTTACCCAGATGTCCGCTAAACTATTCCCCTCCCTTCTCCTGTTGCACTTTGCTCTCGCTGCCTCCCTCCACCCCAGAAGTGACTTCCTTTTACTCCTGCTGTCTTCCCCTCCATGTATAGTGTTATCTCTTTCTGCCTAGCTATGCTCTGGTAGAACTGGGCTGTGGTGTGCTGGGAATTAGGTTTAGATGAGTCCAGTGGCAACTCTGATCTCTGGTGTAGTTGCAACAGGAGAGGAAGTAGGGGAGAGGAAGAAGCTGTGTTGGTCACACTCTAGTCTTATGAATGTTTCTTTGCCTGTTTCAGATTGTGGAGAGGCTGGAGGATGAAGACTGACTCCCCACCCCCATGAAATGATCAGGGCTGAAGTGGAAAAATGAAGTACTGTAACTGAATCTTGAAAATGGTCTGTAATGAAACATCCTGGACCTGAGCCCCAAGGACAGTAGGGTAAGGGCCTCCAACTGAGTAGGGCCTTAAAGAAAAGGGACTGAGTGGTTTTATGGCCTACCTGAGCTGAGATGAAGATAATCAGCTCCTGTGCTTTCAGGGCTTGCTCTGATCTGTTAGGAAGTAGCCAGGCATGTGTTGCTAGAGGCAGGATGCTTGACTTGATGGGCCCATCCACTGTTTTATTATTAGTTGTATTACACTGTAGCCTCGAGGCCCTACAGTGCTAGGGTTTGTACAGACACTTCATTAGAGGCCATCCCTGTCCCAAAGATTTTTGTTGACTTTGTCTACTTAGGTTATAAAGGATGGAAAACAGGAAGTATCAGCATTCCAGATGGGGAACCGAGGTACAGAGAGCTGAAGACTGAGATTTTCAAAGGAGCCCAGTGGAGTTAGGTACCCAAATCTGAGATTTAAAAGGATTTGCTTGAGGTCACCCAGGGAGTCTGTGGCAGAGCTGAGAACTGATCCCAGATGTCCCAGTCCAGAACCGTAACCACACAACTGTCCCTGTGCTTGAGGCACTTTTTAATCCTTCACTTTCCATGGCAAGACCTATGTTCCTATGTGTCAGACTCCAGAAATATTGGGGATAAGATCCTCGCTCTTGTGGCACAATGAGCGCCCCTTGGACAGACACTTGGTATTGGGGGAAGTGTGCAACTGTATGAGACAGCCCATAATTGGATGCATGGGGGCTATCTTGAGGGTTGGTGTGGAGGGGAGACCCAGCCTACAAGAAGTTTCTTCTCAGACCAGGAGACCCCTCTGGTCTTTGCCATTGTTAATGTCGCAGCTGGGTTTGAGGGCGTGGGTGGGGTTTGCCATGATGAACTGTATGTTCAGACCATCTTTCACCTGATCCACCCTGATGCCACATGTGCCCTGAGCAGACCCCACTACATCAAAGAAGGAGAGAAGCATTAACTCCCTGTGTGGCTTCCATTTCAGGCCTGCAGTGAAATCTGGGCATTTCCCATAGTAGATGGGGTCAAGGTTTAAGGCCAAGAGGGACCATTATGGCCATCTAGTCTGACTTCCTGCATTGTGCGGGGCATAGAACGTCACCTAGTAACCCCCACTATGACTCCCTGACTCCTTCCCCTTTCTAAAACTCAGCCGTTCTCCCCACTCTCCCTGCATGGTCCTTTAAAATAGTTCCCTGCACTAGCTCTCGCCTCACAGTGTCTCCAGGTAACTTCACTGTGTCATTTTCTCGTCTGTAACTGCTGTGCCCTTAGCAGCTGCTCGTATGGCCGTATTGAAAAGCCAGATCTTCGTAGGCCAGATGGAACCATTAGATTGCCTAGTCTGATCTCCAGTTTAATACCGACCAGAGAATTCAGTCTGGATTGGAAGACAGCAAGGAATGGAGAATCCACCATCCCTTGGGAGTTTGTTCAATCACCCTCACTGTTAGAAACGTGTGCGTTATTTCTAATTTGAACGTGCCTGGCTTTAACTTCCAGCCATTGGTTCTTGTTCTGCCTTTCTCCACTAGATTAAAGAGACCTATAGGACCCTGTGTTTTCTCCCCATGAAGGTACTTGTACACTGTAATCAGGTCACCTCTCTCAAGCTTCCTTTTCTTGATTTAAACTAAACAGATTGAAAAAATGGAGAGGGTTCAGAAATGAACCATAAAAGTGGTGGAGCCATGGGCAGCAGCTGCTTAGTCAGGGCCAGGGGTGCCTTGCTGCTGAGGCAGTGCATGTGATGATTTGCCAGGAGGCCAGAGGGATGGGTGCGCACCAGATGCCTTGTATTGTGCCAGTCCCCTGGTATCAAGTCCCTGGAACGTGAGCCTCTGATGTCTCAAGTGGAGCAGCTCCGGGCTAAGGAATCAGAGAGGCTCAGAACGTAGAGGCGGAGAAGCCCAGTTAGATCTCATCGCATCTTTCTCCTCTCAGCCAGTGCAGTGCAGGGTTCCCTGCACTACACTCATGTTCAATGTGCTGGCCAAGGGGCTCCCAGCCTGCCCCGCCGGGGACGATTCCCAGCCAGCGCTGTCCACCAGGCAAGGAGTGCGGGGCTCTTCCGGGGGGGCGGGTGCTAAGGCAGTGGTTTCCAGCTGCTCAGCCTAAGAGGCCCTTTCTCTGTTCATCTGGCAGCAGGAGGCGACGGCTGTTTGGGCAGAGCTGTTCAGAGCCTCAGAGGAAGAGCAGCTGGAGCTTGCTATGGCGGGAGGAGTGTCTGGACAGGTTCAAGGGTTGCAAGGTCAGAGTGGGGCTGGAGACCAGCACAGCAGGCTAGGTGGGAGATCATCAAGGTGTGGAGCTGGAGGGGGAAATGACCGGGCTGGGCCCCTCAGTGCCTGGAAGGTGCAGAGAGGAGGGGTTGTGGTCCTTTCCTGCCTGGAGGAGGTAGTGCAAGGGGGTGTCTCCCCTTTAATAACAAAGAGCCCAGATTGCTGGCAGTGAAAACAAAAACGGGGGTGGAGCAAGTGAGAGTAAACGACAGGCCCCAAAATGTGCAGATCAGCAAGGACCTTGCTGTGTACAGAGGCCAAGGCCCTGCCTTACACAGTTGCAGCAGCATAACTGAAGATGGGCTTTTAAGCTGACTGAGTCACACTGGTCCAATACCCTGTCTGGATGCTGGGAATTCAGTTTAAGCCTGGCTTGTATCAATAGAGAATCGAGTGAAATTAAATGGATACAAGCCAGGTTTAAACTGAGTTCCCAGCATCTAGGTACGGTCTTGTATCACTTTAACTGAAGGTGTGATTTTAATCTGGAGCAACTTTGAATGTAGACCAGGCCTAAGGGAGCTGCAAAGCTGGCTGGGTGCTCAGTATAAAAGGCAACTGACCTATCGTGTTGGCAGGAGGGGAGAGTTTGTGGGGAAGTTTGCTGAGGACACAGCTGTAAACTGATGTCAGTGGAACCTGGTGAATTGTGAGAGTCCTGTGGCATTCAGGGCACCCTCCTGGCAGATGGAATTTAACCTGGCAAAACCAGCCTGTCTTTCCTGTCTTTGTGGAATCTCCATCTCTGGAGATATTTAAGAGACATTTATCTAACCTACTATCAGGGATGGTCTAGACAGTATTTGGTCCTGCCATGCGGGCAGGGGACTGGACTCGATGACCTCTCGAGGTCCCTTCCAGTCCTAGAATCTATGAATCTATGATTCAAGGGCTGGAGAAAGTGCCTGATAGTGAGAGACTTAAGAAGTTCAATGTCCTTTTTAAAATCTGGACACCAGAACTGGATGTGGTATTCCAGTATCAGACTCACCAGTGCCATATACAGGGGTAAAATCACCTCCCTGCTTCTACTGGCTACTCCCCTGTTTATGCATGCAGGGATTTTATCTGTCTTGCAGGGGAAGTTGGGAAGCCAAGGAGTCCATGTTGCAATGTGAGTAAGTTGGGTGAGGAAGCAGTTAAAATTCTCAACCACTTGAGGTCTCATAGTCCTGGGTGGTGGTTTGTGTGTGGGAGGGGCAACCACATTGCCACTTTTAGGACTAGGAGGGGTCTGCTGTGATGAACCGCATGTTCAGTCCGTGTTTCACCTGATCTACCCTGATTACACACATGCCCTGAGCAGACTAATGAAACAAACACCTGCAGCTGAAGTCTGATTTGGGGGAAAACTGATGTTCTAATGGTTTCCAATGCAACCATATGTAAAGTCCCAGACAGTGAGGGGAATAAGTAGCAGATCCAGGGGACCTCTTCAGAAACATGGATCCGGTTTCTATGCAAATGAAGGAGGGACAGAGATACAAGGAAATGAGTTTTCCCTGTAGCTGGTAGCGTGCTCTTTTTTATTTTAAAAAAAAAAAAAAAAGTCATTACCTGGAAATAATTCCTCTTTGCTTCTGTAGGTGCAAGAACTCTGAAGACAAGATTGGCTGGTTTCGCTTCTCCCTCACCCTGGATCCCTTATAGGAATCACAGATGTAAGTGCTGCAGGAAGTTCGTATCCATCCAGTTTCTTAGTGTGGTCCCAAATTGGTACCCCCAGCCAATGTCACCATCGGGGGAGGTATGGGACAAAAATAGGGTACTATGGCAGACATAGTTTGCCAGCAGTTAACAAATGTCTGGCATAGGGTACATCATGCGTTCCTCATTCAGTGACAAACAGTCTCTGAACTGATCTTCCAAACATTGCCAGGCTGCCTTTCAGTGCCTGAAGCTGCAGGTGCTTTCAGAAAGCCGTATCTTTCTGCACATATGAACGGGGGACTCCCTGCTGCAGAACTTTACTGGGGTAACTGCTTAGTAAAGGTTTGCTATTTGGGGAAATTCACAGGGTGTTCTTTCTAGGGAATCCTCTTGCTCTCAGAGCTGTTCATTTAAGGGAGAGTGGCCGCGATGACCGTTCCTCTTGCTGCCACAAGCCATGGGCAGTGGGATTTTGTGTCATCGCAGATTAAGCTTGGCCTTTCTTCACTCAGGGTGCTCTTGGATGGGTTTGGCCGTCCGTTAGCACCTTCTGAATTTTGCGGGGTCAGACACTCAAAGAGGCAGAAGGGGACTGGACTCTGGGGACAGAAATGGGGTTTAAAAACAACCTGCTCTGTAAACTTTAGGCAGTGGGCTATAGTAACCAGATAGTAATTTTTCAATGTGAGCTGAAAGATTGCCTGCACTGAGGCACTAGGAGCTATGCTGGCCTCAGCTGGGAGGAGTTAGCTTCACTGCACCAACTAGGTTTCCAAGACGCAACTGTGTGCTGCATTCTGCATCTTTGAACCTTTATCTTTACAGGGATGATTTGAGATGAGCCTTAAAGGAAAGGAAAATGTATCTTTCTCTCCACCAGCATCAACTGTAAGAGAGAATTTGGGGCCTGAAGATTAAAAGATTTGCCCTGTCTCCAATCTGCATTACAAGGACTCTTTGAAGTTATGTCCAGGAAAGGCTATACTAAAAACAGGATAAATAATAAAACTAGATTGAATGGATGTGTAAAAGTTGGGTGTTTTTTGTACAAAAGGGCAGTGGTAGAACAGGGGGAAATGGAGCTTTCTCAACTCTAATCCACTGGTCTGAATTCAGCCCAGGTCAGTAGTGGCTGTAGTTGAGATTTTCACAGGAGATTTAAGGGAGTTAGATGCCATGCTGCTTTAGGCTTCTTTGAAAATCCCATCTTTAATCCATTGCAATTTTCAGTTGCCCTTTCTGTGAAATGAGTTAGGGCTTGAACTCATGTCTGAGATACAATATCTGTCCAGGTATTTTTAAAACTCCTAGTCACTAGTATCGATGGACTTGTACAAAACTGAGGATCAGGATGGTTAACTAACATTGATCTATTTACTGCTGTGTCCAAAATTACTTTCCACTCTTCCGTGAATTGACTCCACCATGTCCACTATCTGTTTTCTACTACCAACACTATTTAGGTTAGGCTGAGATTTTTCAGATGCACTCAGGATTTGGACACCCAGTTCCCATTTAAAAAAATAATGGGAATTTAACAGGCAAATCTCATAGATTTGAAAATCTTAACCTAAATGTATTTAAACCATGTCTCCCCGACCCTACAGGTGCACACTCACTCCTCTGACACCAGCTCAGACCTTTATTTCGTGCTTCGAATGTTGGCATCCTCTATCATCCTGTTTTCTCTTCACCCCAAATAAACAGATGTAGATCCTTTCCCCATTGAGCTGGGGGCCACCACTGCAGTCCTGCTACATCTTACAGCTGTTGTGCTGAACAGCTGGGAGGCAGCGAGAGAGATGGAGCTGAGAGGCAATGCTATGTGAACCAAATTCAGCAACATGTGGTTTTGAGTTTAGATAGCCGTGGGAGTTATATTGAAGTCAGGACAAATTTTCAGTGTCATGAGCAGAGATGCCAAGCTGGACCCTCAAAACCAGGGCCATCCCAGAAAACATGGGCCATTTGGTCATCAAGAGTTTGAACTAGCTTTTGGGGGTTCAGCTGAATACAAGAAACAAGCATTTCCCAAAAATCATGTATTTAACATTAAACCAGCATGAATCTTAAAAATTTGTAATTCTCCATTTTTTAATTTTTTTTGTTGTACTCCATATTATGGGAGAAGTTGCAATTTTATTCTTTTAACGTGATTGCATTTTAACTGTGGGTGAAGGTCTCTCAGTTTGATAGCTTTTCTGTACATATGTAATGTGATAACTTTTGAACACTGCAGGCAATCATTTCCAACTTTTCAGGGAACATTTGAGGTGCTGAGGGCCAGCAACCTGTTCACTTTTGGGAAAATTGGAAAACCAAAAGGGAAAATGGGAGGAGGGACAGATGGACACATGGAGTCTTTGCCAGCTGTTTAGCACAGCTGCTGCTTCAAGCAACTCTGCAATTGTCTATAGACTAAAGAACTGGTTGATGGAAGCCATTAACCCCTTCCACCATAACAGTGCCCCTAGCTCATTTGTGTGTCCTACCACCAGAATTTAACATTTGACACCCTAAATAGCTTCTCATAGACCTATAATAGGGAGAGGGGAAGTGGGGGCACACACACAGCCCCTGGTATGGGGGGGGGGGGAAGGGGAAGTGGGAGTGCACAGAACCTAGTGGGGGAAATCCGGTTTGGGGGAAGGGGGCATAGAGGGGTATAGGGTGCAGAGAGAGCCCCTGAGGTGGGGGCGGAGAATGGGGAATTGGGGCATACCCAGCCCCTGCAATTGCAGGGGGAGATTGGGGGACCCTGCTATAGAGAGATGTGGGAATGGGGGCTGTCATAACTATAAAGGGAAGGGTAACAGCCCTCCTGTGTACAATACTATAAAATCCCTCCTGGCCAGAGACTCCAAAATCCTTTTACCTGTAAAGGGTTAAGAAGCTCAGGTAACCTGGCTGACACCTGACCCAAAGGACCAATAAGGGGACAAGATACTTTCAAATCTTGGTGGGGGGAAGGCTTTTGTTTGTGCTCTTTGTTTTTGGGGAGAGTTCACTCTTGGGACTGAGAGGGACCAGACATCAATCCAGGCTCTCCAAATCTTTCTGAACAAGTCTCTCATATTTCAAAAATAACAGGAGTACTTGTGGCACCTAGAGACTAACAAATTTATTAGAGCATAAGCAAATTTGTTAGTCTCTAGGTGCCACAAGTACTCCTGTTATTTTTGCGGATACAGACTAACACGGCTGCTACTCTGAAACCTGTCATATTTCAAACTTGTAAGTACAGCCAGGCAAGGTGTGTTAGTTTTATCTTTGTTTTCTCAACTTGTAAATGTACCTTTTACTAGGGTGTTTACCTCTGTTTGCTGTAACTTTGAACCCAAGGCTAGAGGGGGGTCCTCTGGGCTCTTTAAATTTGATTACCCTGTAAAGTTATTTTCCATCCTGATTTTACAGAGATGATTTTTACTTTTTTCTTTAATTAAAAGCCTTCTTTTTAAGAACCTGATTGATTTCTCCTTGTTTTAAGATCCAAGGGGTTTGGATCTGTATTCACCAGGGAATTGATGAAGAGTCTCTCAAGGCTACCCAGGGAAGGGAATCAGCACATTGGGAGTGGTGGCAGCGGACCAGATCTAAGCTGGTAGTTAAGCTTAGAAGTTTTCATGCAGGCCCCCACATCTATACCCTAAAGTTCAGAGTGGGGAAGGAGCCTTGACAGGGGCATACAGAACCCCTGCCACATGGTAACTTTGGGGATCTTGGCATGGGGGTAAGTGGGAATGGGGATGCACACAGAGCTGCTGGCAGGGGGGAAATGGAGGGATGCAGGGAGTCCCTGATGTGTGCAATAAGCTCAGCCTACAGAAGCTATGAAATGTACAAGCCACCAAGTTAAATCCAAATATAACAGTATTGACACCCCGCCCCCCAACCAGCTGGTAAGATTTGCAGTTAGCAGGGTGGGTGGTTGATTGAATCCATGTGGAGTTATTTTATGGCATGGTTATTCTGGGGGGTGGGGGGGGGTGAGACCAGTACAAACAGGGATGTCTTTTAGCATCCTGGGAAATGGAGTCTTAAATCACCAGCTGTCACAAGTTCAAAGCTGGCCCCTTCCAGCAGCAGCACCTCCCATCAGTGTAGGAGGCAGGATAGAGAGTCAATAAAGAGATGGTTGCTCATGTATTGCCCCTAACATGCAGATGAGCACCATTTTGACATGCCTGTTATTGGGATTCTAGAGGTGCTGTTTTGATGTGGGTTGAGAGGGCAGTGTGGGTGCCATTTTGACATGTTTTTTATGGGGAGACCATGGGTGCTATTTTGAGATGCAGTTGGGTTCAGTGTGCCATATTGATGTGGCTTTTATGGGGAACCTGTGGGGGTGCCATTTTGATAGGGGTTGAGAGGTGGGATGTTGGGTCTCTTTTTGACAGTTCTTATTGGAATCTCATTGGTATCATTTTGAGATGGGTTGGAGGTGGCATATGGGTGTCAGTTTGACTTGGCTTTTTGTGGGGGAAGCCTTGGGTACCACTTTGAAAAATGTTGCAGTGGGTACCATTTTGACATGGCTTTATGGGGAAACAGTGGATGCCATTTTGATGCAGGTCAGGGAGCGGACGTGTTAGTGTCATTTTCACGTGGATCAGGAGCGGGCGCGTGGCTGCCCTGTTGAAATGGGTCGGGCAGGTGGGTGCCCTGGTGACGTGAGTCAGGGAGAGGGCACGTGGGTGCCCTGGTGACGTAGGTCAGGGAGTGGGTGCACCGGTGACGTGGGGCTGGCAGCGGCAGGTCGGGCAGCGGGGGAGGGTGCCCTGGTGACGTGGGTCGGGCAGCCGGGGGGAGGGTGCCCTGGTGACGTGGGGCCTGGGCGCTAGCTCAGCAGCAGCACGCGGGTCTGCCTGGGCTTGTCGGCAGGGAAGGCGGCGCTGCGGTCGCTCACTCCCCCATGTCATGGCCCCCTCCCCCTACAGTGGCTGTGCAGAGAAGCCGGGGAGGGACTTTCGGACCAAACCATTTCCGCAGAAGGGGATTGTTTTGTGTAAACAGCAAGCTGAGACCCTTTGGGGCGCATTTTGGGATACCAGCCTCTAGTCAAAATATTTTGTAGCGAATTTTTGTCTTTATCCCTCAAGAGCTAGATGGATTTTGCGCCACCTCACCTCCTAGTCCTTTCCCCCTTTCTCTATAATGGTACGTCCCACGCTCCTTCCCCGCTCTCCCATCAAACAGGGCACCAAAGCAGGGCGGGCGGCGCGAAACGCTTTGGGACGCTGAAGGGAGACGCTTTTGCGCGCCGCGACCGTTGGCGGGAGGGAGTGGGGGCGACGCCGGAATGCTCCTCGGCGAGGGGAGGGGGAAGCGCACGGAAGCAGCGGCGCATGCGCAGATACGGATTTACTCGCCAGAGGCGGTTGCTAATTTTCCCGCCCTTTCCCTGCCCCAACGATTTTTTTTAACCGCTGCGTGGTTTAAAAAAGCCGGTTCAATGAGCGAGTAGCCCCCACATTATTTTGTGGGGTACTAGCTCCTCCCCACACCCCGTGTCAGTCTTGCCTGCCAAATATAAACGTGTGTCAAATTCACCTCGCAGGGCACGAAGGTACAGCCGCTATTTTATAAAATGGGGCCGTTTGTGACTCAGTGGCCCTGTCAAAGCCAATGGGGCAACCCCCCTCCACCCTATACACACACACGCGCGCACTCCTAAAAACGACAATGGGGTGCCCACTGATCCCACATTGGCTTATATCAAAGCTGCGAGGCACCCGTTTTGGCGCATGTCATGCTTATGCTGTGCCAATGTTGGCTCATGCCAAGCCAGTGTGGGTGGATGCCCTAAAAAGGCCACTTTAATGACCAAAAAACACACTGGTGTCAGCCAGGCTCACATTAACAGACACAAAGTCCCAATATTGCCATGGGATAAAATGCTGTTGGCGTGTGCCAATTTGGACATATAAAAATCCACCATATGGACTCATGGCAGTACTCTGTCGGCAAACATCAAATGCTCAATGGCAGGAAAACATTACATAGTTGCAATGTCAAAAGATGC